GGTGTACGTTGACTTTTGGGAAGAGCCACCAGCTCTACGTTGCTTTGCTCCAGTCTGGAGCCTTGCCTGATATTGGTCCTCTTTAGTAGGTGTGCGGTGGATGTTTCACATTTTACTAGCTGTCTCAGTTGGGTGAAGAGGGTCTGTGCATTGGCCTGTGTGACTCTAAAACTCAGGCCTGTGAGGAAAAGTGAGGAGGCAGCATAGAGCAGGGCTTAATGTTCTGCAGTTCTCAGCAGGAGAGGTAGCCCCTTGGAGCTGGCTGAGTGCATATCCGGAAATGCAAATTACACCCAACACAACAACATGAAACAGTATTTATCCTTACTACATGTGAGGTACTCTCATTTCAGTTTCATTAACAAAGTACTGGTCTGCTGACCCCCGTTGGTGGGTGGTCAGCAGCAATTTATTTTATTTTTATTTTTAAAAATATATTTTTATTCATTTCAGAGAGAAAGCGAGAGGGGAGAGAAATAGAAACATCAATAATGTTAGAAAATCATTGATCAGTTGTTGTTGTCTCCTGCAAGCCCCACACTGGGGATTGAGTCCGCAACCTGGGCATATGCTCTTACTGGGAATCAAACTGTGACCTCCTGGTGCATAGGTTGAAGCTCAACTGCTGAGCCCCGCCAGCCAGGCTGCTCAACAGCAGTTTAGATTAGGGCCTGGCCACTCTACTCTCAGCATCACCTGGGCTCTTGGCTGCTCCTCCCTTCCACTGCATCAGAATCTGCATGGAAGGTGACTTTACAGTTAAAGAATCCTGCAAGTTACCCCCAGTGACTCACTCCCGCTTATAGTGTTATATCATAGCAGTGGTGCCTCCTGAGATGTTCCTAACGGAGAGGTGAGTCACAAAGAACAATGAGTGGGGTCGTGAGACCCAGCAGTCCTGACCCAGGGAAGACATTGTCCTCTTGAGAACTTCAAAGACTGTGCTTCTGGTTGTGCTGAGAAAGCTCGTGGCCTCTATACCAATGTTCCTTAGCTTTGTGCCCCATGGAGGCTTTTAAATTCTGTCACTGAATGTGTTTAGTCTCAGAGTATCTGCAAAGACCATGGATTCTTAGGTAGGTCCTCTTAGCTTCAGAGATATGCAGTGCATTTCTAGCTTTAGAGGCTCCTAGAGTGACTGTGTTATAAAAAGTTACATGCATAGAAATGAAATAAGACATAAAAATCAAAAGTGTCTTGGTCAGTGTGGCTCAGTTGTTTGGAGGGTCATCCTGTACAACCAAAGGTGGCAGGTTCAATTTCTGGTCAGGGCACATACCCAGGTTTCTGGTTTGGTCCCCAGTTGGGGCTTGTGTGAGAGGCAACCGATCAATGTTTCTCTCTCTCTCTCTCTCTCCCTTCCTCTCTTAAAAATTTGTCAAAAGCTATTTTATGCCCTCCCTCCCCCCCACACATAATTGGAGTGAATCTGGTTGTTGTATACCATCAATATTAACCCTGGTGAGACTGTATAAATGTTAAAAATTGGATAACTGTCAAAACGTGAGGCCTGCATTAGGCTTGCAGCCTCAGTCAACAGTCCTACTCTGCCCTTGATGGCTCTGCTCAGTCACCAAGCACCAGGGACTGTGACAAGACTGCTGTGGGGGGAGACTGCTGTGGGCTCACAGTGATGGCCAAGGCAGTCTGATCAACAGGCCTGGTTTTCTGAGTGGCTGATCCAATTATATGAGAACTCACCATGAAGGAAAACATACTTCAAAGTGATCGCTTTGCTGGTGAAATTTCACCCCTTCCATGGAGGAATTCGTCTTGATCCTCCCACTGTCAGACCTGTGACGTGTAAATGTCAATATGATAAAGCACTTGTTAACTTGGAAGCAAGCATTTATCTGGCAGATTCAGGTTCCCAGATTTGACCATTTTGGTATGTTCTGATCAGAGCTGGACTATTCTGTGGCTCCAATGTCCTGTTCATATAGTGACATCTCTCCAATTTGTACATTTCTTGGCATCTGAAGTATCTGATAAGACAAAAGTATTCTTCTCTATTTTTAGTATCTTCTGGAACTTCACAATTTTGAAACTGGGGAATTAATTATTTCATATAGATGTGAGGGCCTTTTTAAAAATCTCTTTTAATACATTGTTTGCTCTCAGCAAAATTCCTGGTTAAAAGCGGGCAAGATGGTAGCAAAATATTTTAAAATATGCAAAAGCACCACTTCCAGCTCCTCTCAGGAGGGCCAGCATCTCAGAGCAAGCCCACTCCAACTACACTCCCGCTCTGAAATCAGAACAAATTGGATAAAAATAGAAATGAACGATTCTATTCTTTATGAAATCTGACAAATTATGTGTTGGGAGGAAAGGATTTGCTATCATGTATAAAATATTTTAATATTTATATCTGAAGGTAAAACCATGACATGTTTATAACCATTCTATCAAGCATGTTTACAACAGGGCCACAGCTCACAGCTGAACACGCAATAAATATGCACAGACACACCGGGTATGAAATATACATCTTGATTTTATAATCGTGTGTGCTTTATTTTTTACACAAATGGAATGGAAGTGTCGAATATTTACACTTAACAGGAGTGTAAGCTGTGCAGTGTCTCCGTAAACTCCAGCCAGGCAAGGAGTCTTTCCCCTCCCTCCCATCCTGCACTACAGTAGCTCGATGGAGGAACATCCTGTCTGAGAGAAGCACAAAACTGTCTGACCAGGGTACAGTCTGGTGCACTCACTTAGGAAACACAAATTCAGAAAGGAGAGAAGAAAAGTTTGCCATCCCATTGGGAGTCAACCTTGTCAGTTGGTTGTCTGTCCTCATGAGTTGCTAGGGAGATTCTGAATTCTCTCTTGGAGATGAGCTTTGTCTAAATTGTCCACCCGTCTTAACTTGTCCTCAGCTGCTACAAGAAACTGCACAGCTGTACAAGACATGATTTCCGAAGCACAGTTTTCAGTGAGGAAGGATATTTACAGACTGGAGCGAGTGTGTGGGTTTCCATCCACAGTCATTCAGACCCAGTGTAGTATGTGTATACATGACATACATACCCCATATACCATACGTACACAGAAGTAAAATGTCTAGCCACAGAATTCTCTAGAGAGTTCTCTGGCTAATCAGTTGTCACAGGAGGTACTCCACATGCTTTAAGGGAAATGTCCCCTTATTTCCCTCTAGGAGAGACAAATTATTATAATAAACTTAGGAACTAGCCTGGGTCCTTGACTTAAATATTTTTGTAGGAATTTAGGCAGGACCAAGACGGGAACAAAAAGATGTTATTTCACCAGCAAGTCCATTCAATCTCACCAGCTGAAAAGCAGAGGGCGGGGGGGGGGGGGGTAAAAAAAATTTCACATAAAAATGGTGGTGGTGGGGGAGCTTATGAATGGGGAAAAAATCTTTCTCCAAATCAAGGTGATGGCATGGCTTCAATGAGAAGGAAGAGTGTTGCTGTCAGAATAATTGTTGGGGCAGGAGTCTGCCTTTATTGGAAGTAAGTGTCCCTAGAGCCACGGGCTGGTGCTGGGAGTGGGCTTGCTTTGGACCAGCCTTCCGGCAGAGGGGCACCCAGGTGCCGCAGAGCCCAGGGCACGTGCAGCGTCACTGCCAGGGCAGCGGTGCAGGCTGGCTCTGTGGGGCAGGACCTCACGCTCAGCGTTGCCTTCTGGGCTGCGTAGGTGAAATGGTGACCCCAAGTATTTGTGTCACTAGTCCAGCTTATGGACTTGCTGTCTGAATCAGCCACGAGCCCTTATAGGACAGAAACATTAAGAAGTGCGGTGTTGGAGAGGAGATGACCAGAAATGTGAGGAAAAGAGAAAGAACGGGAAAGGAGCCCAGCCAATGTGGCTCAGTAGTTGAGCATCGACCTATGAACCAGGAGATCACAGTTCGATTCCTGGTCAGGGCACATGCCTGAGTTGTGGGCTTGTTCCCTAGTGTAGGAGGCGGCCGATCAATAATTCTATCATCCTGCTTGTTTCTATTTCTCTCTCCCTCTCCCTTCCTCTCTGAAATAATAATAATAAAAAAGAGTGGGAAAGGAGGGGAAGAGGAATAAAAAGGGGAAAGAGACAGAATAAAGAAGAGACAGACAAAGAGATGGGTAATAAAGGGGAGGAGTAAAGAAGGGCTATAGGAAAGTCAACAACTTAGAGAAGACAGGAAGGAAGGCTCAAAGGAGAGGTAACAAAAACATCTATGGAATGAGATGGAAAGAGAAGGGGAGAGCAGAGGAAGAATGAGAAAGAACCAGAGTTGAGAGCCAGAGGAGCGGAGAGCTCTTCCCTGGCTTCGAGTCCTTTAGGGCTGGCAGTGGGATCTGAGACAGCTCACAGGCACCTGAGTGCAGCTTCGTAAAGATGGCTCACTAAACACATGGAGCCGACCCAAGAACTTGGGGCTGGGAGAAAAGGCCTGCAAAGAGGTGGCCGACAAATCCCACGGGAGAAGAGCAAAAAACAGATGCCCCTGCAATTAGCTGACAAGTGGGGTTTTGAATTTGGTAAAGCTGAGACCCCCGTGGTGCTACACATTGTACCAGAGCATGAAAAATAGCACCAGTGACACGATCTGGCACTTTTCCGAAAGGGCCCAGCATGGGAAGGTGACATTGCGCCCCCAGCAAGCCTTCAGATTGGAGAGAGCTCCGGACAAAGTTTGCAGTGTTAGCACCAGTCTGGCCCCAGGCTCCAAGTGCATTGGCACCAGATGTGATCTGGGTAACTCTCCTGCCATTTCCACACGAGTTGTCAGGTCTGCTGCAAAATACACCCGTTCACTGGAGCCATAGAGACCTCAACGTTGGGAGGCGCAAGACAACACAACAAATGGAGGTGTAAATTCTATAGGAAAAGACCCTCTCACCAATTTGCTTGGTGATTCTTCAAGCAAATATATATGTATATATATTTATATAAATCTACATAAAAAAATCAGTGCAAATGCCAATTCTAGTCTGAAAGCATCTACACTAGGAAAATAAATAAATATATTACTACAAAACCAAGGGTTGGTGGTTCAGTTTGATTGTACTCAGCCACAACAATACTTAATATTAAATGAAAAGCACATCGCACGACCCGCGGAAACATCTACTCGTTAATGACAGTCCTTGAAATAAATGGTTGCATGCTCAGTTGAGAAACCAAAGGAGTAATCATGGTGGCCTAAAGAGAGAGCTGGGACCAGAAATGGCATTCTGGTGGCAGGAAAGGTCTGGGAGCAATATCGGTGAAAGGAGACCTCGACCTGAAACTGGCTAATGGCAAATGTGGTCACCTCTTTAACACTTTGAGCAATCTAAGGGAATTTCTAGAAATTTAACTTTCATTAGAGGGTAAGTACATTGCCAGCCCTTTCATTAGCAAAGGCAGCCTCAAGACTACAGGTAGATGCATGATTTTGCTTTTCTGTGTTTGTTTTGGTGACTGCAGCCAGGCAGAGAGTGGTAGTTAGTGTAAGATGAACACCGCCTGTTTTTTGGAAAGAGACCCTCATTCTGAGCTCTAATGTTCTTCCTGTGAAAAGCCCCACCACTGCTGATGGCTTTGTCTCTTGCTTTGCCACCCCAGCCTGCATGCTGGTTTGCTGCACAGTGTGGCAGAATTCCTGCCAGGTCTGGATGTACCCCAGGAATAAGGCGATGGGGCTGAGTCTGGGCCTGCATAGAACCCAGAGTTGAGTGGTTATTGAGATTACAGAAAAGCCTCTCTCTAAACACCTTGGGCACAAGCAAAGCTAATGTCACCCCCAGCTCTAATGTAGGATATAGGCTTTGGGAGGTTCCCTTCTTTTAAAAAAATCATTATTATAATCGCTAAAAAATAAACGTGGTCCAGGTGCAGCCCTCAAGAAAGGCAGTTTAATTGGTTGACCTCTAAATCCTTAGTTGTCTTTCCTTATTGTTCTCTCTCTTTGCCCTGTATACAGAAACAAGTCTGCACCCCTCAACCCCAACCAGATAATTTTCTCTCTCTCTTCCTCAAAGAAGTAGTGCATCTTGGGACAGATCTCTCTATGACTCTATAGCATCTCTGGCTGTTATAAAACCTGTTACTTGTGAAACAGGCAAATTAAAGTGTCCTAATTACTCACGATTGGCCAAAATACTACATGACCCTTTAAGAATGGTATGTAAATAACTAGGAACAAAGTTATTCAGCTATTTGCACGGCAGGCCCAGGTTGTTTATCAAGAGAAAAGCAAAAACTTCCCTTTAGCTTGTTGGTATGAGTTTGTCTCTGAAAGCCATCAGCGTTAAAATGCATTAACCAAATGTCTTCCAAAAAAATATCCATGAGGGCAACTCATTAAAGGATGTGCTCCATGAGAGTCTGTCACTGATCGGACAGGGAGGTCATGGGAGGTAAGTAAGGGAGAAGCCTGTGTCAGACTTGGGAGGAACTCAGATGCTTTTAGTGGATCATTGGCAACAGAAGGGAGAGTGCAATGTTCAGTTCTTGAATTTGATAATCTGCAGGTAGTGCATACAGTTAGTCTTTCCATTAATTAGTCTTTACAAAATATTTCACAAAACTTTTTTAACCTATAGAAATGTGTTTCTATACATTTAATATATTTTTATTGTATAAATTATTCTCATCTTTAGTGCCTTCTTTCACTTTATAAATGGCAAAATAGACAATAAACAATCATGAAGCTAACCCAGGTGGAACCCCCTCTTCTCAGTAGGGTCAGTCCTCCATACACTCGTGAGTTTTATGAAATGCTCGTCTTTGCAGGTGCCAGTCAAAGAAACTACACGCACATCCTTCCCTGGTATTATGCCGTCTCCAAAGGGACTCCTTTCTTTTTTTTTTCCTTCGTTCTTTCCTTTGCTCGTTAAGAAATCAAAGGATGTGCGTATAAAAAGTCAAAGTGGACCAATTACAGGTGTGGGTAATGGGAAGGTTGGTGAAGTTCAAGTGCTGGCAACTTTTCTTTAAAGCAAAAAAAAAAAAAAAATACAGAGAGCTCAGCAGCTAAGTCGGCTCTGGACATCTGCTGGGTGAGGAGGCTGCCCAGCTTGGGCACCAAGCCCGTCAGAGGTTCATCCCTATGCCTGGCCCCTTGAGCAAACCAAAGCCTTCCTGCATACCGCAGTGTATTTTCTGTCCCACCCTTCGGCCCCTCTGTTTCCTTCATGGCTTCACACAGTTTGTGTTGTACATTCATCAGAATTCACATTGACTGCAAAACATAAATGCAACAAAAACATAAAAGCCTCCAAGTAGTAATATTATATATATATTTTGTTCTTCTAAATGCTCTTCTGTCGTTGTCAGAGGTGCAGTAGCTAATTTATAACTTCTCCTTTGAGGGGATCCAGATGAAAGGCCCAGACTGCTCTTCAATGACAAGCTTGCACTGGTTATATATATCTTCTAAGCTATCTCCTTGGACAATAGCTAGAACGAAAGCAAATGTACCCGGCATTAGGAATCAATCAATCACACAGCGGAAGCTCAAATCAGTGATAGACAAACTCCTCAGGAAACTGAGTGTGACTTTTCACTAGTAAGAAAAAGCAGAAAATTCACTTAAGCAAGGTCACATCAATGATGAAAAAAGGGCTTTTCACAGCAGGTTCTGGATCAGCAAGAAATGCAACACAATCTTTCCCCTTTCTACATGTCTGTCTGTTGTTCTGGACAATGAATCATCCATTTATTTGCATTTTATGAGTATCTACTCTGGGCCAGGCCCTGAGGTAGGTATCAATCAATTTTTCAGATTGAGAGCTCCCCATTTATTAAGGAAAGCTGGCCTTATATGTCTGTACTGTACTTACTTAGACACAGAGGAAATAATAAACTTCTTGGAAGAAACTTCAGTTAACCTCCTCAGCCCCCAAAACCTTTAAAAGGAAATCCCATTCATTCTCTGAGTAATCTGATAACATGAAGTTTTACCCTACATACTCAAATTGAGAATATCTTTTGGTAAGTACTTATAAGAAACATAAATAGGAGGAAACATAAAGTGATAAACTGTGTATTACTAAAATACCAAGGCACTTAGATTTAAGTACATTTTATTAACTCCTGGGGGGAGGGGGAAGGGAACTATCTTGTAGCTACATCTCTAAAAACACATCCTTATTACAGTAGGGCTTAGAAGTAAATTGCTACTAAAACATGGTTTAGGTTTTTAAAAACACTCTTCAGAATGTATTGATTATTGTATTGTATGCCCAAATATTAGCCACTGTCAAATATACATTGTTTTGACTTGATGATCCTACCTGGATGCTCTTTTAGGATGAAATACCACTCTTATCTTTGTTATTAGAAATTTTACTTAAGATTACCGGATTCAACATATTTGCAAACTGCTAAGCCACTGGTGTTTTCTATTCTGAGTAAGATAAAAAAGAAAACATCTAACTTCACGTAAGGTTATTCAGGAGGAAAGTTCTTGTTTTCAAACTATCAGTTGTAAGGCAATTCCACAAATGTTGCTCACTCTTTGGATTTGATCAATGTTTCATGAATATATATGAGAGAACCCAGGGTACCCAAGATAAAAAAAAATCGTCCTTTATTCCCCAAACTTCATGTTTCCAAGGAAATATTTAAAAAGAAAAAAGAATAGTTTTGTTTGGACAGGGAATTAATTGAAACACAAGGAAGTATTTCAAGATTCTTGTTCACATGTGCTAATGGGGAGGCCGACCTCCAGGTCACTGAAGCGGAGGCTGGAGGCCCTGAGATTGCTGCTGTAGAGTGACTGCTTTGGACAGCGCACATTCTGAGCCCTCAAAGTTTCTTTTTTCAAGTTTTCTAATACCAGGGAGATAGTTTAATGAAGTATCAATGCCTAAACTGTCCTTAGTAGCAGGAAGTAGCTCAGTGGCATCTGGCGTTCCTGGCTTTGGATAGGGCCCCTGGGAACTTGGGAGCTGGCTGCAGCTTAATTCAGAGCAGGGGGAATCCAGAGTCCGAAGCAAATGGGTAAAGCAGAGGGAAATTAGGGATTCTCAGCACGAAGGTTTTGGGGCCTAGATATACCAGGCCCTCAATATGCCAAATGTCAGGCAGTTTATCTCCTTTATTACAGTTCAAGGGGAAATGAGCTTACCTGTATTAGACTTATCGAGGTGAGTACTTTGTAAGTTATATAAATGGTCACTATTGTATATTCGAAACTAATATATGTACAGGGTGAGGTGAAAGCAGGTTTATAGTTGTGAGGATGCAAAACAGTTTATTCTTATTTATTAATTATTGTACAAATTTTCCATACCAACAATTGTAAACCTACTTTCACCCCACCCTCTATGTAATTGAAAAAAATTTTTAGAAAGAACTTACCCGTAAAATACTCTCCAAATTCTTGTTCTAGCTTAATTGCACGATCGTAGGTTTTCTTGGCCTGTTCCTCTGTGAGACGCTTGTTCATCTCCCTGGGAAAATGAGGGTTCAGTATTAGAACGCACAGGGACTATTCAAACCCTGAAAAATTAAAATGTCTGGCAAAAATGAGTCCGGCAGGAGACTTAGTGTAATCTTAGCAGCAGCTTCCTAGTCTTCATTTGGGACTCATCTTTGCTGGAATGATTTTTAGCAACAAGGACTCCTTCCCAGGACCTCACTCTCTCCCCTGCAATCTCTTGGCCCCACAGTGGATTGAAGCAGACCTGTCTCCTTATGATTTCCAGTTACTGGTCCCTGTTCTGCCCTCTCCAGCCCCACAGGGTAGGGCTAAACTTCCTTCCTCTACGATAGGCATCAGGGTCTTGAAATCAAGCCCTCCAGTGTGCCTTGAGGTTTCCACTCCTTCAGAATAAACTGTCCTACAACCCTCATCTAGTCTCTCCTTGGATATGATTTCCGAGTCCTAACCTTCCTTGGACTTTGTTCTAGTGTATCTAGATCTCTTTTAAATGTGGGCCGTAGAATTGAACAAGATCTTCCCAGGGTGGTCAGAGGGAGGAGAGAGCTGGTCAGAAGGGAAGGTACATCACAGCATTTTGGACCTCATTACATCTGAGGGAACATGACTTAGCTGTTCTCAGGTCCTGACCCCTCAGAAAGCTTTGATTTCTCGACTCCCCCATCCTTCCCAAGAGCTGCTGCTCACTTTAATGTGCAGCAGAAACCATGTGGAGTGGAGAAACACAGAAAGTGCTTCCAAAGAATTACAGGAGAGGTGAAGACCCCTTAGGCATGTGTGTCTTTTTTTTCTCACGTGAGGACATGCTTAGAGAGAGGAAGGGGGGGCAGGGTAAGAGGGGAGGAGAGGGGAGAGAGAGAGAAAGAGAGAGAGAAACATTAATGCGGTTGCCTTCCATACATGCTCTGACCTGGGGATTGAAGCCACAACCTAGGTATGTGCCTTGATCGGGAATCGAACTGGCAACCTTTTGGTGCACAGGATGACACTCAACCAACTGAGCCGCTCTGGCTGGGTAGGTGTATGTATCTTTCAGGCTGAAAGGCATTCTGCAGCTCTTGCTGCTCAACTTTTACAAATGGCAAGGCATGTCTGTAGCAACCAGCGCCCTGAACTTCCTCTGTTTTTATAATCAGATGGAATCTCAAGGAGCTGCTGAAGAAGGCTTGAATTAAAGTGAACATAGAGGGAGTGTAACAATCCATAGTGCTGGTTCCAAAATATTTTCAAATAGACTGCAAGCAAGTACTATCAAATAATGAGCCAGGATAGAGGCACTTGTTAAGGAACAATCTCTAATGCTCAATTTGCTTATTTTTGTTCTGATAGAATGGGCTATAAAGGAATTATGCCTGAGATTCTCTGTCCCTTTCTTTCTGTTGGCCTGTCAACCACTGGTGAATCATTAACTGTATATAAGTACTGCTTAATCATTGTAAGTTTATTTGAATCCAACTGACTAGTAGTCTCAAGGGCAAATTGAGGTGAGAGAAAAATGGAAAACAACCTAATCTTCTGATCCCTAACCAGTGGCAGCTTTGTCTTCCCATGTCCTCTAGTATTACATTTTTTTTCCTACCAAAGTACACTTTTTAAATAGACATTATTTTATCTTTCCATGTTTTTAAAATAAAAAACATTTATTAATCAAAGCCTGTCAGTCATTGCCTCTGATCATCATAAGAATACCAGTGTTGACTGCACTGGGCTGATAGAAGTCTGGCCAAGAGCAGAGATGTTTAGTTGGTCCATTGGGATGTGTGGACCAGATGGGTGTAGAATTTCGAAAGCATTGCTGCCTTTGCATGCCACTTAGGAAGCCAGAGATCCGAGTCTGGAACACATGGTCTTAGTCAATTCCTTTTTTTCAGAGCAAATAACTGAGGCCTAAAGTAGTAGAGAGACTTGCCTAAGGTTGTACATTTAATAAAGAGTAAATCTGATGCAAGAACTCAAGGTTTGTTTGTTTTTTCTAACCATTTTTAAGTCAAACAGACCTTCTATTATACCAAGACTCTTTCAAAAGAGACTTATTTGAAAAAAAAAAAATTCAAACCAAAGTCAGAATCATTAACATGATTCTGGACATGATGCTGATGGCTGCAATATAAAGAAATGGGAATTTCCTGAATTCCTG